GCCACTTTGCTGGCTCTGTGCTCACATGCTGATGCCCGGCCACATCTTCATCCCCACTCCACACTGCTTCTCATCAAGTCTCCATCGCTCTGGTCCCAGGCTCACCCCACTCAATCCTTCCTTTGCAGTCCCTATCCATGCTGCTCCCACCAAACCCCCTTCTCCACAAAGCCTCCCTGCTCACCCCGCAGTCCTTCCTGCTTCCCGCTCCCCACTCCTGCTCCCTCTACATCTTCACACCACGTTGCAAACGCCACAAACCTCGCTTCCCCTGCCCAACTGCTTGCAAAGACAAGCTACGGAAAGAGGGTGGGGGCCAACAGATGCGCGTGACGACAGGCAGTCTGGCGTATGAGGCCTCAAAATACCTTCTGTGGAAATTTCAAAGACAACATACCTAAGACAAAAGTACTTTGCTGATGCCTGGCCACATCTGACAACATACCTAAGACAAAAGTACTTAAAAAAGCCTGGGCAAAGTCAGGGTACACGCACCACCTAAAATACCATTTAATCCAAATGTGAGCTGGAATTTACCAGTTCAGGCTGATCTCTGCCTCTGAATTTCAGGTAAGCACGGAACAAGATGACAGAAGTCCCTTCCCCGGGGTAGGCACGGCGCGCAGGACTTGCGGCGAAGCATTTTGCTGTGCGGTTCTCCGGAACTCAGGGTGTATGAAAGATCCACATGAAGTTGTACAAGCTGTTAACAGTGACAAGCACTCTCTCATTTCCTAACATCATTAATCTATTTTTCCCATCAGGACTGTGTTCCCAGCAATAGCCAGGACAGAAGATTAAGAAAAAATACTGCAGACGGAGTAGCAACAGTAAAGCAGAGCGCTCCATTACACCTATCCGAAAACGTGCCCACTAAGCTTCAAAGTACAGACAGAAGGCAAAGCAGCATAATGTTTGCCATGAAAGATGAACAGAAAGGTGAAGAAATGAATTCCATCAGGCTCCATAAACGTGGGAGGAGATTTATAATTAAAAAGAGCCCAATTCTGATTTCCATGAACAGCTCCATTCTCAACCTGCCCACGCTGAAATCTGAGGATAGAAACAACAACAAGTGGAAAAGTCTCTATCAGATCCAAAAAGAAAGAAAGCGGATTATGAGGGAAACTTGTTCTAAATACAAGAGTAATAACAGAAGAATAATCACTCCTTATCATGTTTCTAGAATATTTGTGGAAGATAAATACAGAGTTTTATACTGTGAAGTACCGAAAGCTGGCTGCTCTAACTGGAAACGGGTGCTCATGGTTCTTAATGGGCTGGCTTCTTCCACAAAAGACATCCAGCACAACACGGTGCACTACGGAAACTATTTAAAGAGGCTGGATGGGTTTGATCACAAGGGAATTTATCATCGGCTCAACACTTACACAAAGATGCTTTTTATTCGTGAACCTTTTGAAAAGCTGGTGTCCGCGTTTCGGGACAAATTTGAACATCCGAACAATTACTACCACCCGGTTTTTGGAAAAGCCATCATTTCCAGATACCGTGTGAACGCCACCAAAGAAGCATTAAGGACAGGCTCTGGAGTCAAATTTAAAGAGTTCATTCAATACCTCCTGGACGTACACAGGCCAGTGGGTATGGATATCCACTGGGATCACGTCAACAGGCTTTGCAGCCCATGTTTAATAGACTATGACTTCGTCGGGAAATTTGAAAGTATGGAAGAAGACGCAAACTTCTTCTTGCACTTAATTGGTGCTCCACAAAATTTAACTTTCCCCAAGTTTAAAGACAGGCACTCCAATGAAGAAAGAACTACCACTAAAATTACACAACAGTATTTTGCACAGCTTTCTGCTTCTCAACGACAACGAAGCTATGACTTTTACTATATGGATTATTTGATGTTTAACTACTCAAAACCTTTTGAAGACTTATATTGACTTGAGAGCTGGGACATTTCCACAGTCACATCAGTTGAATTGCATAACAAATCCAGGTGGCTTCTGTTTATATATACTTGTCTGTTAGTAAACAGTTGGTTGAAGAGCAGGAAAAAACCCAACACAGAACATAAATGGCTAGTGATGTTTACACCTTCACCTTAAATGCCTCCTTTTTCAAATCATATTTTTTCTATAATTTCTCCATATGAAATGTCTGTACATATATGTAGAATATTCTATGTCAGGGCTCCCAAATAAAGCACATAATTTTCCATGCTGGTGAGGCCTGCGTTTGCACCGGGAGGATGGTTTGAAACCGAGGAAACACAGCTGGCAATTCTCCAGTAGAGCCAGTAGTTCAAGCTCTTTACTATTTAGAAAAACAGTCTGAAAGTGAGAGTACCAAGAAAAAAAAAATGCACTGAGTAATATTTATAGGTTGTTGAAATCCGCAGCACACGATGCCCTACACTAAGCAGGCACTATGTCTTTGAAGTTGTAGATTGTTATGTCCTGATATTTGTTAAGTTAGTTAGGGAGAAAAAGTCCCTCACACTTCCACTGTTCAAAAAACACGCTGGTGAAAACAACTCATACTTAATGACCATGGGAGTGCAGTATTAAACCAGATGTTGCAATTGAGAGCGAGGACGTGTTCTCCCCATACAATATTTCCCTTATGGCACATTTATCTGCAAAAAGATAAAATGCAGGCGAACATTTGCATCTTTATAAATGTTATTAAGATTCTTTTAATCCTTTGCATTAACATAAATCTCTGGTTTAATCTTCATAGTCACCAGGAATAGTAAATCTTTCCTTCATAATAACAAGCAAGAATAAATGCAGCTTCCTGCCTAACAGGGTAGTTCTTTTCATCCCCGCAAACAATTTGCACTTGTTTATGCCAGTAACAATTAGATCTGACTTGACAGGCAAAAAAATATTCCAGGTGTTTTAGTTCAGTTCTTCATTTTCTATACTTAAGGCTTTCTTTCATCTCTAGCAGAATCAGATAGTGGACCTTCATGGTTTTGTAAATCTCCACACTAATTCTGTATACAGTAACCTTGTTTACATGGCATTCAACCACTCAAAATGATGACATTTAAATTGGCCTTACTGCAACAAGTCTCAAACTCTGCCACGATGCCAAACTTGAGCTCCCCAGTCATTTCTAGAGTTTGTATTTCGCAACCAAGTATTCCACCACAGCTGGCACGGTACAAATCCACGAACATCGGCGAAGAAACACTTCGTTCCAGCAGTTTCACCGTTTATCCTCATGTAGTTAGTTTAATGCATCACAGTTTCCCCAGAAACATCCAATATATTTTTGGGTGGGTTTTTTTTTAATTTTAAAAGAGAAAAAAAATGTTTTAAAATAATTTCTATTGAAAGCCTTACTGACAGATACTTCACACATCTTGTCTGACGTCAAACTTTCATTTTTTGTTCAGAGCCAAATTGTTTGCAGTAGAAAGGTCATGCAGAACTTATATTGTTCTGCAGTTACGATTCCAGGTCTGCCCAAGCTCCTCATCACTGCCTTGCTGCTGCTACTCACCACCTACCCCACCTTTCCATCCCCTCAGATACTTCTTGGTCTGCTCACCGGCCAAGGAACAGCCCTTTTATTCCAAGTAATTTTTCTGCTAGGCCAGCTCAGATCAGCTGTAGCAGGCTGGGGGCTGTTCACCTGGCTGCTCTGCCAACAGGTAAGTGTGGCAGATAACCTCACTCAACGGGTCATGCTCAGGAGTATCCAGGGGAAAACATGGCAAGTTAATCGCTTCCTAGTGCGGATAGAGGAGAACATTGATTCTGATAGTGGTGGGATTTATGGGGAAGAGGCAAAGAGACCACCACTAGGAATTTGAGTCATTAGCGTTTAATGACATTAAGTGCTCTAAGAAGTGACGGTACTCTATTGATGCAATTGATTTGCCTGCAGTTACGGAAATCACAAACAGTCACCAACACAAAGCACATACTGGAGCCTTCATAGCTTCTTTTCAGGGTCTGATCTTGCAAGCAGGTCAGTGTACCACAGCTCAGTGTATTATCACTGCTCCTGCAGATGAGTGCTGAACTCCTTCAAGCCAGCAGGTGAACTTCCAAGTTGATGTCCGGTGATGTCGGTGATGTCCGAGTGGAGATCGGTGAC